TAAAATATCCATATAAAATAATCTTAATTAAAACACACATTATAAAATAAGCCGCCCTGGCCAGATAAAATTCAATTGTATTTAGCATTTAAAATGTTGCTTAAATAAAAAGGTCTTAGCCTGGCGCCGAAAAACGAATAACGACGGTGCCAGGCGGACCTCTCCGGGGAGCGCATTCCATAACTTAGGCGCCACCGCTGAGAAAGCCCTCCTCCGAGTAGCCACCCTCCTAATTTCTCTCACGGAGGGCTCCCGGAGGAGGGCCTCTCCCGCAGATCTCAGGGGGCGACTGGGCAAATATGGATGTAAGCGCTCCTTCAAATTAAAACAATAACAATTAAAATATATACAGTAGAATAAAATAAGCTGCCCTGGCCAAATAAAATTCAATAATATTAACATTTAAAATGCTGCTTAATGCGCTTGCAAACTTTTCCCCGAACATGGAAAAAGACAAATTAGAAAGAGCAGGAGCCCCCGATCCCGGTGGGAGCTTTCGGCTTTCCTCCTCGTGTGGGGAAAACCGCTTTTGCTTCTAACACCTCTCATTTCAGTAAAAAAAAATAGAAAGAAAAACCACCCCAAAAATTATTTAGAGCGAATCCGGAATGCTCTACTCACACTCTAAAATATGGAGTCTTTCATTTTCGCATCTCTATGAGAACAACGCCCTTTGCCCCACAGAGTCCCGCCCCTTTCCCGAGCCCCGCCCACGCAGCGCCGGGAAAGTTCTGGGCGCGTGCGGTGCATTGTGGGAGGGACCGTTAGCACCAGGGCTGCCGCCAAGATGATGGTGAGTGAGGGCCGGCGGCGGAGCTGGGGCTTATCCGCCGCCATCCGCGGCGAGGGTGGGCCAGTTCTCCCCGCAGAAGGCCCTTCTGTCCCCTCCGGAGTCACCGCCGCGAGAGCGCGGCGGTATTGGCGGCGGCCGGCGGGGCTGAGCGGCGAGGGGGGCTGAGCGGCGGAGGCCTGCGCTCGCTCGCTCGCCCCCGAGCTGGGTTAGGGAGCCGACGGGGCTTCGCAAGAGGCGAGGGCGGCGGCGAGCGGTGTCGCTGGGACTTGAGGGCGAGCTGCCTCAAGTCGTGGGGAGCCGGTTTCTCTGACTGCTTGGGGCGGCTGCCGCGAGGCGTTCTGGGAGTTGTAGTCTTGGGATTCTGGGCAGGAGCGCCTTGCTTGCCTTTTCTTATGGCGGGGGGAGGCGGGATGTCCTTGGTCAGCCTTGCCCCACCTGGCGCCCTTCAGGTATGGTGGGCTGCAGCCCCCTGTGCTGACTGGGGATGATGGGAGCTGTAGCCCACCACTCCCGGAGGGCACCCGCCTTAAGCAAAGTGGACCTTGATCCAATGCTCTCCCTTTGCGTGGAATGAGCCGCTGCAAGGGGGAGAGAATATCCATTCCATTTATAAGAGTTGTTTGCCTCTCCATATTCCAGTATGGAAATTTCGGGGCAGTGAACACTTAAAGGCAAGGCCACTGAAAAATAAACCAGCAAATTGAAAACAAGCTCCATAAAAACCTTTCAAGAAATTATATATGAATAAAGTCATGATTGGTTAGCTCAGTCTTTCTGGTGGCAGGGGAAACAACTCATTGTTAGCAGCTGCCTGATCTGTAGAGGCAGTGAACTTCATGGAAAGGGGTCCACCCCACGGAAGGCTTGTCCCCAGGTGGACTCCTATCAAGCCATAGGTCTGTGTGGAGCCCCCAGGAGCATGTCATCCATTGAGCTCCTTGACTGGGCAGTTTGGTAAGGGGAAAGGTGCTCTCCCAGGTATCCTGGTCTCCCTGCTTTTCCTGATGGTCTAAAAGGGCAGCTCTGTGTTTTTCCCTTTCTCCGCCCTTGTCTCTGGCTGCCCCCAAATATGCTGAGGTAGGGGCATGCTTAAGCGTTTAGTTTAGAACATTTTATATACCACTTCCCATTTTAAAAATCCTGAAGTGATTCACAACAGTATGTTTCTTACCAGTCCTTTTAATTAATTAATTAATTTATAAATTTCTTTGGTGCATTGCTGGGTGTTTTTCAGTGCAATCATGACCTTAACCCTATGCATAAATTCAATTGATCCTTACTGCCAAGGGGGTGTGCACACTACTGCAGTGCTATTTTATCAAGTGTCCTATTTGCAAAGGCAGCTTCAGGTTGTCTCTGTGTGTACTTGCTGTGCTATATCCAGGAATGAATCAGGTCTGCCTTAAAACCATCATACTTTATACCTGGTGTGTCCAGACATGGCTGACAGGACCAGATTCATGGGGTTTCGGGCAGCTGGTCTGGCCCCTAGCCTTAAAGTGTGATACTAGAGCATGTCCTGCTTATTTTCTTGTGGTTTTCCATATTCCCTAGGCAGCTTGATTACTGAGAGGTCTCGTCTTTACTTCTGTTCCTTTGATCTAGTGTTTTCTGTCCTTTGTAGTTTTCTAGCTTGCCTGCTTTTCTTTCACAGCTCCTTGTGTCCTTTGACACATTCTGTGGAACATCTTTCTATATTTGTTTTTAAAGACATGAATATTATTGTAGAAGTACTTTAGATGGTAAAAATATAGCATGTCAAAACATAATCAACAGTGAAGACACACAGGAATGTTTAGGCTAAACGTTACAAAACAAAACGAGATAGTGGCAAACCAGGTATCTGCATAGAGCAATGAATGGTTTCTACACTGCACAAATAGTTTGATGATCCAGGGTAGAATTCTGGTAAGCTGTGAAAAGATTCTTGGTTAGATTTGACTGCTGAGTTTTATTTGATGCAAACCTAACCTGCCAGTGCTTGGCACAAAGGAGCGTAACTACAGTTAGAAGGTGCAAGGAAAGGCCTCTGGCTTGGTTGGTGGGTTGTATGAGCTGATCTTTTGCCTCAGTCACAGAGGCAGTGCTGTTTTCAAGCATCCCATCACTAATTCAGAAGGTGGGATGGCTGTACATGTTCTGTGTCCTCACAGTGGCTTGGCCAACAGCCTGGGAGGTTTCATGGGTGACGTTCTGCCACCTTTTCTGCAACTCAGCAAATTCAGTCTTCAAAAGCTTGGCTTCACTGTTGTGCCTGCCTTCCTGTTGAATGTGCATCTGCTTTGCATTCTTGCATCTGCTTATAAAAATGGCCTAACTGATAATAATTGGGTTTTCTAGATCAATGACATGGTTGAGGTAGCTTTTACAGAAGTACCTTTGTCTGGCCAGATGTTGGCATCTTGTCTTGTCTGCTTGCCTTGCAGCCCACACCTGTTATCCTGCTGAAGGAGGGCACGGACACTTCCCAGGGGATCCCGCAGCTTATCAGTAACATCAGTGCTTGCCAGGTCATTGCCGAAGCTGTCCGCACCACCCTGGGCCCCCGGGGCATGGACAAACTCATTGTGGATGACAGAGGTACCTCTGGAGCTTCCTTTAACTTTGGAATATCTCTCTGTTACTGTGTCTGCACGGGAATCTTTTTGTCACACATTGGTGTGTGATGTGGAGATGGGTCTTACTGTTCAGATTCAGGAAGAGCAAGGCAGGCGTTGCCCAGGTGCACTCACAGGCTGCCTAGAATTCTTGCTCAGAGCAGGACACCTCGTTACTGCCTGGTTTTAGGTCCTTGCTCAGTCAGACTTTCTGGCTTGAAAACAAAACATCATGGGAACAGAGGCGGGTGCCCCACCCACTAGCCCCGGATCACCAACACTGCCTAGCTGCAGCTCCCTAGGTTTTCAGGCAGAGGTTCTGCCCGCCGTATCTGGTGATGCCAAGGTGCCAAGCTGGCACATACCGTGTCCAAGGCATGGTCTCTGCCATGCATTCCTGAGGTTCTTTGTCCCATCAGACAAGAGTGACCTTGCCTTTTCCGACCTGGTGCCCTCCAGACGTACTGGGTGTCGATTCCCATCAGCCCCAGCCAGGCACCATAGTCACTGGTTGGCTGGTGGAGGTTGAGGTGCAGAGCATCTGTGGGGTACCAGATTGGGGAAAGCTGGTTGGCAAACTTTATGCTAAGACCCCAGAAGAATTAATTTCTGTGGATCCATTTGCCAGATCAGAAGTGCAGTGCTGGAACACCTGAAAAAGGATTGACATGGACTTAGCAGGAAAGCTGTACTTTTGAGCCTCTTTGGGTTGCCAGTTGTTCCAAGCATTGTCCAAATATGCCAATATAAGTAGCTTCCACTACTCTGTAGAACATCCTCTTTGCCCTGACGATCTTCCGCCTGCGTGACACAGTGGTCTGTGACTCCCTTGGTGAGCGCTGATAGGACTGCAGGAGTCTGGCCAGCTGCACCAGTAGCTGAGTGTCCATGACAAGGCCTCCAAAGGCTGGGTCGCAGCATCTTGCAGAGCCGCCGCCTTTGGCTTCGCTTCACCCCATTCACAGAAAGGCCATTCAGATTTGCTGCAGCGCTGAAGGAGTCGTCCGCCTCTTGCGCAGAGGCATGCCCAGTGTAGGAGTAGAAGGAAGGTGGAGCTTCTCCCTGAGTGCGCTGGTGCTGGGTCGTGTTGGGGTGCCTCTGGAGCTCTTAGCCAGGTCGCGAGTGAGGCCCCTCCTGAGGCTCATCGGCCGGTTCAGCTGTGAGCATCGTCTTTGCGTCCTGCTCGTGGGCTTTGTGGAAGCATCTCGGTGCCGGCTGTTGGGAAAGGGGCCTTGGACCAGGCAGACCTTCAGACGGGGCTGTTTCCTGCCTGGCCTGCTTAGGTTTTGCTCCTCCATCCAGCGGTGGTGCTCAGACCGATGTTTTCGCTTTACTTTGCAGGCAAAGCCACGATTTCTAATGATGGTGCAACCATCCTGAAGCTTCTCGACGTGGTTCACCCCGCGGCAAAGACTCTTGTGGACATCGCCAAATCCCAGGATGCAGAGGTGGGCTGCCACTGTCTGTGGTCCGGGACGGGGAGCATGACAGAGGACAGCCAGGCACCACCTGTGGCGGCGCATTTGGGGCGCTGTAGGGTTGGCAAGATGGGTCCCTCCTCGGCAGCCCGGGGGCAAGACCGCTGGGTGCTCACGGTCCAGTCGGGCGAGGTTCACATCGCACAACGTCCTGGCAGTGAGATTGCTGAGCTGGTGGTGATCCAGGGATCTCCTTTCAGAAGAGGATCTGAGCGTTCCTCGGCAGGGGCACGGTGCTAGGTGCAGGATGAAGCTGTCAGGAGAGGGAGAGCTCAGGTGGGGAGCCAGGGCTGAGAGCGGCTGTAGGCAGTGAAGCGGCTGCCTGGAGGCACTTCCCTAAGCGTGTTCTTGCGTGGCAGGTTGGCGACGGCACCACTTCTGTCACCCTCCTGGCTGCTGAATTCCTGAAGCAAGTCAAGCCGTATGTGGAAGAAGGCCTGCACCCCCAGATTATCATCCGTGCCTTCCGCACGGCGACAGAGCTGGTAAGGCCCGGCGTGGCTCCCGGCGTGCCGGCTCGCTGCCTTTGTTCAAGTGCATTTCTTTGGGGGAGTAAAAGTAAAAGGCGGAGATTAAGTCTTTACTGAGGCCTAGTTTATGAAGCTAGAAGTGCAGTCACTAAAGTATAAACTGCTGGTTTCTCTAGGTCAGGGGTTCTCAAACTTTGACTTGGGGGCCAGTTGAAAGGTGCCAGGGATGGGTGCGGGCCGCCAAGGCGGCACGGGCAGGGGGCACAGGTCAGGCGGGGGGGGTGCATGCACGCGTGTGCAGAAAGGCAGGAGCATGCATGCACAGAGATCTTTTTCTCCCAACAAGTCCAAAATGATCTCCTTGTGAGCAAGTCGGCGCCTCGCCACGCGTGCATGCGCGGCAAGCTGTGGCAGGCCAGACCCAGCCCGTGGGCCGTAGTTTGAGGACCCATGCTCTAGGTAACCCTAGCGGCTGTTTATTGTTCTTCACTTTTGAGCTGAGTGTCGCTTCCTCTCGCGGGAGAAATTATTGGGCACCAACTGAGAGTGAAATTCTGGCTTGCACCGTTTGCATTAATCCTGCTCACATGGGACTAGTAAATGAGTTTTGAGGCAGAAAGTTATCCCATGCCTTCTGTGGCACTCTGCCTGGTTGGCGTAAGGTACAGTATAGCTATTTTTTTAGCAATTTCTGGACTTTACCTTCATCTAAAAATGGAACTAAGGGCAGTTTATATTAACTTTAAATCTGTAATACAACTAAAACAACAAACACTGTTAAACAACAGTACATACTATTGAAAGGAATAAGAATCCTGGCACCTGTGAATATTAACAGTTGAAAATGTTTGGGTGAATATACATTTTTCATCTCATACTGAATGGAATTCAGTGACAGTGCCAGGTGTTCTTTGTTTGAGGGGGGCGTTCCAAAGTCGGGGTGCAGCAAAAGAGAAGGGCTTGTTTTTTGAACACACACAAAGATCTTTTTAAGATGGGATATGAAAAGCAGGAAATCTTAATGCAGGGCCAGGTTAGCATGGGAAAATGTGCAACTTCAGCACCAGCCCTTTAAACTGGAGTTGTGAGCAGGCACCCAGTACAGTTCCTTCAGAACTGTTGCAACCTGGCTTTATCTAGAGAAACCTGCTGGGATTCTCCTTGCCGAAACTGTTTTTTTGCCGCTGAAAAAGCTCTCCCGCATTACTGCCTGTGGTGCAATGAAGACGAGAAGCGCCTGGCAGCAAAACAGTGGTGGCTATACTGGCATGAGTCACTGTTTGTGGGCAGCTGCTCTGTTGCTTGAGGCTGACACAGGAGGACTTTCCTTCAGATTGAGTGAGTTGTGAAGGATTGGGGAGTTGCATGTGATAGAAATGGTATATAGTCTGACTAGGCAGGAACTGAGCACAATCATTAACTCTGATTCTTGTCTTGTTTTGGCAGGCTGTAAATAAGATCAGGAAGATTGCAGTTACAATAAAGAAGACAGACCAAGTGTATGTTTTCCATCTTCTATGGGCCATCTAGACTAAAACTGTCCACTTCGGCCTGGTCCTGGCTGGGTGTTGCCAGGCGTTGTGGTCTGGCACATCTGGAAGGCACCAGGGTGGAAAAGGCTGGGCTGCGTCCGCAACCCCCACCTTCTGTGACGTGGTTGCATGTGCATTTTATCGATGTTTGAAGCAAACTTCTGCAGAGTTCCTTGCATGAGTTCTTAAGCGATTTTATCATCTCCAGAATTGGGGATTGATCAGTCAGAATCAGTTGATCAATCAGGGGGATTGAATGAGATCCTGTGGAGGATGCCCAAAGACCGACCACCAACAAAGCTTTAGAGTAAAGCTTAGATATCTCACAATTTGCCTCTGTAATTTATAAAAGGTGAAGAGAGTTTAAGCAGCTTTAACACATCCTTTTATATTCTTCCTTTTGGGAAAGGTAGGATAAGTGTGGAGCAGCCTTTGCTACCTTGGTACTCTCCAGATCTTTCCTACTTGAGTTCCCGCCAGCCCCAGCCGGCATCATCCAGGGTCAGGAATCTTAGGAGTAGTGGTGCTTTCCAAGTTCTTCGGAGCAGCTTGAGGAAGGAAGGCTGGTGTGGATTCTGGCCCCCGGGCATCCACCTCCCAGGTGCACTGGCACTGGCGGGATGCTTTTGCATTTGATGGCCGCCACGAGTGGGGTGGGGGGGAGAAGGCAGGGCCCCTTGTGCTGTGCTGCTGCTGCAGCGGGGGTGAGCAAGCGGAGCGCCTCCCCCCTTCCCTCTGCTCCGGGCCTCGTGGCTGCAGGAGCCCCCTCGCCTTCTTCCGGCTCAGGACTGCAGGTTGCCGCCACTGCCGTGTCTCCCGCTGCAGCTTGACCTCTGCACTCTCCAGGAAAGGTTTCCCCGAAGTGTCTGTCCTGTGTGCCGGGCTCCATGTAGGATTTTCAGGCAAGCGCAGTCCCTCCTTCCGAGGTGGCGCTGTCTCTAGGAGCGTCTTCTTGCCCTCAGTGAATGCCCTTGGCTTCCCCTTGCCTCTCCTCTGCTCCCTGTGCTTCTGTAAGCTGCCCAACTGGACCGTTCTCCGGGCAGAGCATCCTTGTAGGGGCAGGTCATACGGCCACCTCGGCACCCGAGAGAAAACACTGCAGCCATCGCCAGGGAAAAACGGCAGGGAGCAGGGAGATGTTTCCGCCCCTCTGGCCAACCTGAGGAGGCGTCAGAATTGCAAGTTAATCCTTTTAACTGCAGCCCTGGGGAGCTCCTTGACTAAGCAGCACCACCTCATTCCCTAAGCAGTCGGAACATTTAGAAGGTTTTGACTGGGGAAGAGCCAGGCTGGGCTCCCAGGCAGGTGGATCGTGCGTCCAGCAGGCGCTGCCGCCACCCCCGTGGCTTAGTCTGTGTGCTGGTGGTGATGCTCTGATCTGCAGAGCGAATGAAAACAGCTGCTCCCTCCCTCCCTCTCTCCAGCGAGCTGCGGAGCCTGCTGGAGAAATGCGCAAGCACAGCCCTGAGCTCCAAGCTGATCTCGCAGCACAAGGGGTTCTTCGCCGCAATGGTGGTGGATGCTGTCATGATGCTGGATGAGCTGATGCAGATCAAAATGATTGGGATCAAGAAGGTGCAGGGCGGCGCCCTCGAGGTGAGCTCGCGTCCCCTGGTGGGTTGGGGGGCTTGCGTGTGGTCTGAGTGCCACTCCGGAGGCACCTGGAATACCTTCCGGAGCAGCTTCCCGTTTTGGCCCCCGTAGCAGCTACGGAGAGTGGTGAGGGGCAAAACCGGCTCAGCTCCTTTGCTCCCGTGGACGCCACTGAGCTCTCACGTACCCCTCTTGGTTTCAGAGTCCACGGCAAGGGGAGGGTCTGGGGGTGATGGTGGTTCCGAGACCCCTGGAAGCTTGTGGCTCAGATTGTGAACTACCTGGGGGCAAGGAGCAAAACATGGCGCTTGCCGTGGTTAAGAAGCACCATTAAGCGACTTAGACACCTCTCTGAGCTTTAGTCCAGCTGTGTCAGAATGGGAGCGCACCTGCAGTCCTAGACACCCTTCCTTGGGAGTAAGCCCATTTGGGTCCAGTTGAACTCGCCTCCAGGCAAAAAATCAAGTGATAACCCCCTGGTCTAAAAGACCCCACTCAGACGTTAGGGAGCTGCTCTAGTCAGTGCTGGGGTTTTTCCACTTGGTTTATCAGCTTCGGTAATGGCTTGTGTGTGGTCACGTTGGTCCCAGGGATACAGTGCGGATGCCACCTCATTGCAGTTAAGTGCCATAATCTTGAATGGTTTAAATAAAATTGCATCCCACCATTCATAACCTTTTCTTTTCTTTTCTTTTCTTTTCTTTTCTTTTCTTTTTTTGAAGACAAAGATAAAGGGTGGGGGCTCACCCTGGTTTCACCTTTGATTCATCTCTCAGTAGGGGAGAAGGGGAAATGTTGCATTTCCCGTGATTGTGAGAAGATAACAAAGCCTTGTAGCGGTACAGATCTGATTCCTGGGGTGTTGCCCTTGTCGGAGTGGGTCACACTAGTACAGCCTTCCCTGACCTAGAGCCCTCCTGATGTTCTGAATTTCAACTCCCATCAGCCCCAGCTAGCCTAGCCGAAGCTTAGGATTCCCAGGATGTAGTCCAGAGCACGGGGAAGGCACAGGGCTGCGTGAGCAGAGCTGAAACGGCGCTTGTCTCCCCCCAGGATTCCCAGCTGGTGGCTGGGGTGGCCTTCAAGAAAACCTTCTCCTACGCCGGGTTTGAGATGCAGCCCAAGAAGTACAGCTCCCCCAGGATCGCCCTGCTCAACATCGAGCTGGAGCTCAAGGCGGAGAAGGACAACGCCGAGATCCGGGTGCAGAGCGTGGAGGTGAGGGGCTCAGGAGGTGGGCCTTGTTTGGAGCCTGGGACTCTGTTCTGCCTCGCTGGGGGCAGGGGCGCTTGTCGCCCACAGGTCCCCTTGGCCCCGGGGGCTTCGCACTCCATGGCCGTCGGTGGGGCTGCCCCCTCCCTTGTCCTGTCAGCCTTCCCGATTGTGTGAATGCGGTGGTCCTGCTAGGTGGGCGGCGGCAGCGGGGAAGGGGGGATCTGGGCACCACCTCCCGGCAGTGCATGGGAGCATCCTCTGTGTTCGGGGGAAGCGGGGGGCTTGCGTGGCATCGGGGCGGCCTCGTCCGGCCTGGACTGGCAGAGGTGCCGCCAGATCCAAGCAGGACCCTCGGCTTCCCTGTGGTGGCAGTGTCAGGACCGTTCCGCGTGCTGGGAGGGGGCCGGAGAAAAGGGCGCTCCCTTCCCCCCTTTCCCCCAAGTGCTTTAGATCACTGGCCAGAGAACGGGCGCACTGAGGGCTCTTGCCCCCCCCCCCTTTCCAGGACTACCAGGCCATCGTGGACGCGGAGTGGAGCATCTTGTACGACAAGCTGGAGAAGCTGCACAAGTCGGGGGCCAAAGTGATCCTCTCCAAGCTCCCCATCGGGGACGTCGCCACGCAGTACTTTGCCGACAGGGACATGTTCTGCGCTGGCCGGGTGCCCGAGGAAGACCTCAAGAGGACCATGATGGTAAGCGTCCTGTCCCAGTAGCAGGGGCACGTCTCTTGTGGTTGTGATGTGCTAGGGAGAGACGCAGCACCTCTCGTGTGTGAGGCAGCCCACATTCTGGGCACAAGAAAGGTGTGCCGTGGTTCCCTTCCCGAGTGAAAATGGGTCCTGAATTAGGTGGCGGTGCATCTGCTGCTTGTGAAGCCACTGGTCATTGCAGGTGACCTTCCTGCCTGCCCACCTGGATCTACCAACCTGGCTCAGCTTTGCGCGTTCTCCGGTCAGAGGGCTTCTGTTAGCCGTCTTGCACTGTCTTCAGGCAGCATAAAGGTAGCAAACCCAGATGATCAGAATCGCCTTTTGCATAAGGCTGCCTCTTAGTAGAAAATTTGGACAGTCAGTGATATTGGATTCAGTCTCATATTTACAGAGGAACCGGAATAAAAAAGGAGATTATCAGGAATAAGAGGTCGCAACAATATTTCTAGATAAATGGTGGTTTAGCAGGGGATATTCAGTATGCAGAAGCAATTTTTAATGCTAGAAAAAAATACAAGAGATGGTATTCAGTTTGGGTTTTGAACCCTTCGTTCATGTGTGAATATCGCCCTGAAATTGTGTTCTCTTGCATGTAACACAGGCTTGCGGTGGTTCCATCCAGACCAGTGTGAATTCCCTGACGGATGATGTTCTTGGGCGCTGTGAGCTCTTTGAGGAAACCCAGATTGGAGGGGAGAGGTAATGGTCGTCGGGAGGGATACCAGAGGGTAAGGGGAACCATTCACGTGCTGCTGCTCTTAATTTCTGCCCTGACTTTTTACCAGGAAATGGTAGAAGGGCAGTTAGCAAGAACAACACTCAACATTTCAGATAAGAATGTAATAAAACCAACCCTGAAAGTGATACATCTGCAGCAGCATTTTTAAAAATGAGTGGATAATGCATTAAAGTAGCATTCTTACCAGAATCTAGTCGTGCCTTCTGAAAACGGTGGCGTGGCTTGTGCTCCTTGGGTGTGGTGCATCAGTCTTACGAGGGGTGTGGCAGCTCATGTTCCCCACCACAAAGGTAAGCCCATGCTTGCTGTGAGCTGGCTTCATACTGACCTTCTGTGCAAAACTGGGATTTCTGTGGCATCTCTGCAGACCTCCCTCCGCCCTTCGGTATTTCTCCATCCTACACGGTGCATCCCGAGCAAGCGTCATCAAGAAAGCAGGAGCTTGGTGGGGTTTGGGGGGTGCATGTGTCTCCCTTCAATCTACACTGCAGGGATTTAGTGCAGCGGCTTGCTGGGAAGACGTGTCTGTCTACACCATGCACGCCCTTGCCCTCCCGCCGAGTGCACTGGAAGGTGATGGTGTGGGCCAGGGAGGCGCACCCTGATGCCTGCCCGCCTCTCTCCCTGGCAGGTACAACTTCTTCACGAGCTGCCCCAAAGCCAAGACCTGCACGATAATCCTGCGCGGAGGGGCAGAGCAGTTCATGGAAGAGACGGAGCGCTCCCTCCACGATGCCATCATGATTGTCAGGCGAGCCATCAAGGTGCGGGCTGGGGGCTTAGCGGGAGCGAGTGGCCACCCGTGAGGGGCCGGGGAGGGGTGACCGGGCAGGGCTGCCGCCGCCCTCCCCAGGTCGCGTGGGCAGGAGCTGGGGCAGCTGGACAAACCCGCCTCGGCGCTCCTCGTGCCCTGGCCCGGTTGCTCCAGACAGCCCCGTCCCGATTTGGATCAGCCTTGCCAAGACGTCTCTGCTGGGGTGTTGCTCCTTTGCCGTGGCCGCTCTGCCTTGGCCGCTGCAGCAAGTGGGGAGGCCCCGCAGGCAGCCGTTGGCCCGCCCTGCCGCTCCCCGCCTGCCCCCCGTGTTAGGGGGCCCTGGTGCTGCCTTCTCCCGAGCGTGCGCTCGAAAGCAGGCCTGGGCTGGCCTCCCTCTGTGGTGTGGCGAGACCACCAGAGCCGCGTGGCCCCCCCTTCCCCGGCCACTCTGATGCGGCCTTGCCCCTTTGTCCCCAAAGCCCCCACAGCTCAGGAACATCCCCGTTTCGGGATCCTGCCCTTTGGAAGCGCAGAAGCTCAGCCCTGATGATTCTGCCCGGCGCGGGACTGGGTGGGCAGACGTCCTCGCTCTCGGACGTGGTGGCCGGTTTGAGAAGTGGCTCTGGGCTCCGGCACAGCTCACCTGCCACGGGAGGCGGGGCAAAGGCCGGCCACCCCCCCCCCCGTCCCCCCGCGGGCGGAGGGGGGTCCTGAGCCTCGGCGCACAAAGCAGCTCCTTTGAATCCACAGTTTTTAGTCCTAGCAGAAATTTGCTCTAGCGGCCAGAGAGAAAGCGTATTGCTCTGAGTTACATCATTTATTGCTAAATGGGAGGGCAGGACACTCAGCTGGCACCATGAAAAGCGCCAGGGGACCCAGGGGCTCCCGCAGGCACCACGTAGCCTGCCCCGGCCTGGCGTGTGCCAGCAACAGACTGGCTTCGGGGTTCTCTGCCCATGACCCTCCCTTTCTCCTGGTCTCTCTCTAAAAACCTCCCTCTTGCCCATGGACCAGCTTCAAGCAGAACAGGAACAGAATGTGCCAGTTCTGCAAGCCTCGTTCTTTGCATGGATTCCAGATTTGGTGGAGGGTAGATTTTGCAACAGCTGCGCCTCTCCTCCCCTTGCCAGCCAGCTGGTAGATCGCTCTAGTTTCTCTGAACGCGGCCGGCGTGCATCTGCCTCTTCCGAATGGCATCAGCCGGATCTGTGCCAGCCGGCCCGCCAGTGGCGCTCTTGGGAGTGGCGTCAGCTGGAGCCGTTGCGGCAGCAGAGGCTCCCGAGAGAAACTGGCATTTCCCTGCTTACCGTGTTTTTTCAGCATGACTCTGTGGTCGCCGGTGGCGGAGCTATCGAGATGGAGATCTCCAAGTACCTCCGGGATTACTCCCGGACCATTCCCGGCAAGCAGCAGCTGCTGATCGGGGCTTACGCCAAGGCCCTGGAGATCATTCCTCGCCAGCTCTGTGACAACGCGGGCTTCGATGCCACCAATATCCTCAACAAGCTGCGGGCCAAGCATGCCCAGGTGAGCTCTCTGGGGCAGGCGGCCTCCGCACCTTCCCTGCGGCTCCCCTGCCCGTTTCTCTCTCCAGGCGGGGGCCGTGCTTGATGGTTTGTCTTCTAGCCGCACCAGAGGGCTTCCAGAGGCGTGAGCGTGCGCATAAACCCGCCAGCCCATCTCTTGATGGCCGTGCCAGGGGGGACTGGGGGTGTGGTGGTGCTGGTGGCTGAGCTGCAGCTCCGTGCAGTGGCTGAGCTGCGAGGACGGCTGTTTTTGTGCTTTGCAGCCGGCCTGTTCTGAGCAAGACGCTGGTGTCTTTTTCTAGTCCCCTTTCGGGAAGCCCTTTCGAGGGCTTGTGGGGCTGGGTGTCAGGGCTGCCTGAGGATGGATCCTCCTCATCCTGATGGCTTTGCTTGTCTTTGGGGACGGAATGCAGCGGTCCCTCGGCTCACGAACACCTCTGTTCACGACCAAATCGGGTCGCGGACAGAAATTGCATAAAAATTTTGCCACAAGTCGCGAACTCTGCATCGGGTGACGATTGCGAGCGCGCCCGCCTTCCCTGCCTGAGCGTGCCCGCGCCTGCCTCCCCCCGTGTGCCCCCAGCACGCCTGTGATCGTGCCCCCCCACAGTTGCTGCGGGGGGGAAATGGCTGCGATCTTTGTTGTTCTTTGTCACTTTGCTTATAATTTTCGTGAGTAAAAAAAAATAGTTGCAGAACAGGTTAACCTTATTTACATTGACCCTTACGGGGAAATATGACTTTACTCACGACCAGTTTGGGTCACGACCAGAGTCCTGGAACGGATTGAGTTCGGGAGCCGAGGTGCCAGTGTACCTGGACTCCCGCCACGTGGCGCATGTGTGTTCCGTCTGCCTTTCAGGGGGGCAAGTGGTACGGCGTGGACGTGAGCAACGAAGACATCACGGACAACTTTGTGGCTTGCGTGTGGGAGCCAGCTATCGTGCGCATCAACGCGCTGACGGCAGCGTCCGAGGCGGCGTGCCTGATCGTGTCTGTGGACGAAACCATCAAGAACCCCCGCTCCACCGTGGACGCCCCCCCGCCAGGCCGTGGCAGGGGGCGAGCCCGGCCACACAACCACTGAAGGCCTGCCCTTGAACGGTCGCCTTAACATCCCAGCACTGTGACTGCGCCTTTTTGGTCTCCATGTGGGTAATTTAAGCTGCCTTTGACGGTCACGGGACTCCTGTGTTACGTCCTTCTCCGACGTCCTTCTCATGGGAGCCTGGTATTCAGGAACGTGTGCAGCGGGAATGTCCCTTAAGCTTACTAAGCTTAATAGGCTCTTGAATGGTCAGATCCTGGTACCCAAGATGGTTCCAGACTTCTCTTTCCCTTTTTTTTTTCCTTCTCTCTTTTCCTGGTTCCTTGCAGACGTTCAGCTTGGAGGATTAAAAGGCTTCAGATCTTTGCAGCGTTGGCACAGTGCTTGAATGTTAATGTGGGTTGTTGGTAGTATTTATTGTTTTTTTTTCTACTGGAGGTTTAAACCCAGGCATGAGAACAATAAAAAGTTGGAAATGGCATACTTGTCACCTCTACAGCCTTCCCTGTCTCTTCCCGCACCCCATTGTGATTAAATTCCTCCTTGGAAAAAATGTCCAGACTATTTGAAGGTTTGAAATGTAAAGAGTTCCATTAGACAGGAGCCTGCATGTTCATAAAAAAACACAAATGCCCGATTCTGTGTGACATCCTCTCAAGCTTTGGGTCGCAAGTGGCAAGTCTGCCTGTGGGAACTCAAGGCCGCCCCCGGTCTTTACTGTCCTGTTTGCTAGGAATTGCAGAAGGTGCGAGTGTTGTGAGGGAAGGGAGGTGTGGGAAGCCACTGGGACTGATTCCTCTTTGGTGTCCCAGCAAGGCGGCACCGAAACTCGCTGTGGCCGAGGGCCCTCTGAGAGCGTGCAAAGCTCTCTGGAAGGCAGCTCCATTTTGGTGAGCTTCCAGTTCAGAACCCTCTGGATGTCGCTTTCTCGAGGCTCTAGCCTCGGCTTCTGGGGTGTGAAGGCGGCGGCGGCTGGGACTTGCCCAGCGCTCGCCTGCTGTCCTGCCAGGCGAGATGCGAGAAGCGGCTCTCGCAGAAACGGCACACGTCCATCAACGCTTCCGCTGCCCCCGCCTCGCGCGCTCCTTGCTCTCCAGTAATTCTGCCCCATGCCCTTCGTTTTCTCTCCTTCGGCTTTCTCGGCACTGGTGGCAGCCGGGGGTGGCCCAATCCAGCCTGGCCAAGGACCCCCCAGCACTTAGGTGATCGCTGAGGAAACAGGGTGGAAGGCGGGCCTCGCTCACGCCGCTGGGCCGGCGGCTGTGCCCCCCGGCGTTGGCCTGGGTTCCTCCGAGGACCTCGGCGTGTCCCCACCTGGCCGTTTTGACTGCCGCGACCGGGCCCCGGTGCTGTGCTTGCCTTCCAGATGCCCCACTCGGAGGCACGGCACAGATCGGCGGCGAGGGAAGGAGTGCCGCTGGGCCAGCCGGCTGCTGGCCCGAGGCTTGGTGGCCTTGCCGGACGGCAAGCTGGCCACCCCCCCGGCCCCTCCGCAGAGGCTAACTGGATCGGTGGGTGCATCTTCCGTGGGAGAAGGCCACTTGGGGGTCCAGGGCAGGATGCAAGGCCCACGTTGCTCCCCAATGCACTGCCCCCTGAGGGCACCCCCCCCCCCCCCGTGGATGGAAGAGCCAGCCCTGCTTGGGAGCAGGTGAAGCGCGGAGCCAGCATGGTCTCGACTTTTCTCTCTGGTGGGGGTGGGGGGGAGTGTGGGGCTTGCAGGTCTCAGGAGCAGGCAAAGCCATATCCAAGCCTGCAGATCGTTTGCACCTGGGCGTCTGACTGCAGCCACGGAGTTCGTTATGTCATTACACTGCTTCGCAAGGTTAGACGTCTCTCCCAAGTGGCTCAAAGTCGTCATGTCTAACACACAAACCGTGCAATAAGACAACCCAATATCAATCTCCAGTTGCAGAAAGCGTGACCAATATAACGAAAAAGCCCCCTTCTGCAAACACACCAAGCGCAGAAGAATAAAGCCACAAAGAATCTAAAGCATGAGAGCACCGATGCCTTGTGCCTACAGCCCTTCCTAAACAAAGGGGGCCTGAAAACACTTGCTAAGAAACACCGGAAATGAAATGGCAAAAGCATCCCTTTTGCACGAAGAGCTTGCAGAGGTGGCTGGGAGGCGGCAGCAGGGTCGCACCCCTCAGTCAGTGTGGCTGTGCCCCCCGGGAGGTCTGTGCATGGCCTCCTCGGGGGGCAAGCAAGCCCATCTGCCACGCGCCCATTCAAGGCAGCCTTGCCCATCCTTGGGCCGTCACTGGCCAGACCAGCGTCCCAACAGCTCCGCAGGCTCCCGGGTTGGCAATCCCCTCCGTGAAGAGAGGCAGCAGAGCTCCCCACAAGTGCGCGTACCCGGATAGGCCTTGCTCCTGAGTAGACGTTTGAGGCCACCTTTGCTCTAGCGAGAAACCCAAGCAGCTTACACCGTCCTCGGCCCAATTCTCTCCTCTTAACAACAACCCTGTGAGGTAGGTTAGTTGAGAGTACGTGACTGGCCTGAAGTTGCCTGTACAGGATTGCACTGTGGATGCGGCGGCCCCGACGGGGAAGTGTTGCCTTGGGGCCCACAGCCCCAGTCCAGCCCCCGGGCGCAGTCGCCCAGGCCCCGGTCGTCTGGTGGTTTCCTGGCATCTGTGCAGCACCCGCCCCGCCGCCAGTTTGGAACGCCTCCCCTTGGTTACTGGCTGGAAGAGAGTTCAGCTACAATAGACTGGACATTTGTTAAGCTAATTTTGGTGGAAATGCAGGAATTTCCTTGCGAGGAGCTTGATTCCCAGGTTGGAGGGGACTGAGCACCTCTGCCTTGGTGGGAAGAGAATGGGGCGTAGGAAACACACCTGCCTCTCATCATTTCCGGGAGCAGGCAGGACAGCCACATGCCTGGATGGGCTTCATGCAGGGTGGGGGCAAGGGAGGATCCGTGGGCGCGCCTTGCATGTAGAAGACCAGCATGTCAGGGAAAATTACTCATCTGACCTCAGTGTCCCCCATGTTCAGGGGAAAGACTGGACGGGAGGCGCGTGCTTTCAGCAGAGACCCAATGGGCTGGCGCAGTGGTGGTGCCCCATACTGGAAAAGCCCAGGGCTTGGGGCCCCAACAACTGACATCTGCAAAGGGCCATCTCTGGAGGCCGCCTCCTTGGTGAAAAGGGCCGCAGGGAAAAGGGAGAGGAGGGGGCATTTGGTGTCAAGAAAAAACCCCAGGCAGACAAATTCCCAGAGGGCAGGAGGGGGAGCCCATGTGGGCTGAGAACCCCCTAATCCAGGGGGCTCAGAGGCAGAGGCGGCCCTCGGGGCTCCTGGGTCTTTATTTCGGCCAGCATCCGCGGGGTGGTGGGGCAGCTGGTCTCCCAGTGTCGGGGCTCCCATTTGGCCCTGCTTCGGGGTTCCTGGCACAGCACAAGTCCAGGCGGTTTACCTGCCCGGCGTGAGCCAGGAGGAGGCATCCTAGGTACGTGCGGATGCAAGCTGCCTCACAGGTACCTTTTTCATGGAGCTGCTGATATTGTCACGAAAGGGGTGCCCAGCTCCCTAAGCCTACCTGGTGGGCAAATTTCATTTTCTTTCGGAAAATGCGGGCAATTTTCCGAAGGAACAGCCAAGGTTATCAGCCTCATCGGAGAGCTGAGCTGTTCCCCCAAAAGGCCTCTCTCCATCAATTGGCATTCAGCTGAAGCAAGGGTGCCATGATTCGCAGCTGAGGGAGAGCGTAACCAAGGAAACGGTCCATCAGCTAGGAAAATCCATACCTGCTTCAGACATTTTAAGGACCTCCTTTTGCCTAAGAGCTGCCTGATTTTGGGTTCTACCCCCCATACCGACACCACCGATAGCAACCCACTGATTGCGATTTCTTGGCTTAGCCTACATCCTTTTGTCTTGAAAATTAACCAGACAAGAATTATTCATCCAGAGCTGAATCTGACGAGATTTACTCTGAAGCCTGTAGCAGCCTGACAATTCTTGTTTTCATTTACAACCCTAACCCACCCCACCCCCACAAGTTTCTAGTCCTTAAGGCTAGAATCCAGAGTAAACACAATGGAGGTGGTTTTTCATGCTCTGCCTGCCTCCGACAGACAGCAGGAAAAAGAAAGACCAGAATGATATAAAATCATTATTGGTAGGTTATTAGTTTACATAACACTTAAGGGCTTGGACTGCTCAATTTTTTTTCTCTTTCTTTTTTTTAAACATTCCATTGTTTAAATAATAAAAATGTTAATAAAAACTAAAATGATAAAAACCTCTTGTGAACTTGGAACCCTGTAGAGAGGTCTGACTAGTACTGAGTACAGGAGAACTAGTACTTCAAGCGTTTTGAAAGCGGTACTTCTTTTAATGCAGCCCAAAATAATGATTGTCCTTCTGTCGCTGCATCATATTGTTGGCTCATATTTGGCTCCTATTTAGGTTGTGATCTCCATCGGCAACATTGTTGATCCAACTGTTCCCCATTTTGTAATGATGCATTTGGTTCATGTTCCCAAGCGGAGGACTTGGATTTCATTCTGTCGTTCTCTGTCCATCATTCTAACCTACTGAGATCATCCTGCACCTTCTCTCTGTCTTCCACGGTGTTTGCTATTCCATCCAACTTGTGTAGTAAAGCACACAACAGAGAGGACAAGAGTTGTGAAGGCAACTTAGAATTCTTTCAGGGAAAAGGTGGAATACCTTAATAAATATAATTAGTATGTCCTGGTTTGCACTCCATGGTGGCAATTCCTGGGTTGTTTATGGGTTAAACAATCCAGGGTTAACTCAACAACCAGCCATGTTGGGAATCTGTGAAGGGACAACCTTAGGCATGTTTAGGCAGAAAAAAGTCCTCCAATTCCCAACAATTGGCTGAGAAACGCTGGGAATTGTAGCACGCTTTTCTGTCTAAGCATGGCTACGAGTGGGACCTGAATCACAGGCCCATGCTCCACGTTTCTTCTTGCGGTCCCTAATGGCCCAGAGGGATCATGAGGTGGCCGTTTGCCTGGGTGAACCCACAGCCAGGAGCTTTTGAGCAACTATTCCCAACAGACTCAACCCTAAAAACCGGGCCCTGGGTGAAAGACAGCTCTGCTCCACTGTATTGTAGAATCACAGAAGAGCCGAGTTGGAAGGGGCCATGCAGACCACCGGGTCCAACCCCTGCTGGTGTAGGGCACCAGTCACACCACCCCACTCGGGGGGCTGCCCAGTCCCCCCCCCTCAGCCTTCTCTTCTCCAGGCTGAACATGCCCAGTTCTCCCAGTCTCTCCTCACAGGGCAGGTGTTTCCAAGCCCTGGACCATGTCCGCCGCCCTCCTCTGGACCCGTCCTCATTTTTCTGAAGCCTGGATTCATGTCCGCAGCCGGCCCTTCTCCCTCTTAGGAAGCTCTGCCGTGGAGGAATGCCTGCATGTTGCAGAGGATTCTGGGACATGTTGCAGGACGCCCCTTTTATTCGTACGGGGGGCTGGGTGGACGTATTTGGGG